AAGTCAGTTCCCCTACGATCGTTTGACAGGTTTGAGTGCCAAAGATCGTGGTGCGCAAACAAGTCANTTCAACAATTTACGAAAAGTAGAAACGTCAGTAAGCACAGTTTATGTCAAAAAAATTAAAAGTGAAACTACCGAGGCTCGTGGCCTTTTGGCTGCTCTCGGGATAGCCACGGCTTCCCTACTTGTTTGCGGACGTTCTTCCTCCGACTCACTGGCGATGCAGCTTTCTTCGGCTCCAAAACTTCTGGAATGATTAATGCCCTCCACAGCCGCGAAAATTCCACAAGTTCTGGCAACACAGCCGCTTCAGTAGGTTAATTTGGACGTGGGTCCGTAATACATCCTGCCGGTACGAAGCGAGCTGCAGCAGCGGTGAGAGCCCTGCGGAACTTACGTTCACCAAGGTGGACGTCGGTTGGTGTGGGGAGAGCAGCAAAGGTGTTTTTAGTAAATTCCGCGAAGCCTTTTCAATCAGCTTTAGAAAAGTTGATATAGGTCCGGTGTTCCGCGGAAGCAAAGTCGGTTGGTTTATCAATCGAGATGACTATGGGCAGATGGTCTGATGCTAAAGTCAGCATAGGTCGCCATGATATGCTGTTTATCAGACCAGCGCAGACTATTGTTGTCTGGCAAGCTGCAGGAGCTGCCCATAATCCTGGTGGGTGCGTCGTCGTTCATTGTGCAGAATGTCGAATCGTCTATCTGCTCAGCCAAGTCAGTTCCCCTACGATCGTTTGACAGGTTTGAGTGCCAAAGATCGTGGTGCGCAAACAAGTCACCTACTACCATACGGTTTTCACCTCTGAGGAGCGCACATATGTCAGGGTGATATCCTGCCGGGCAGCAGGTGACAGGGGGTATATATACGAGCTCAACATCGCCCGACTGGATAGCAATGCCCTTACATTCTAGGGTAGTATCCCTGCGGTCGATGTCTGCTTCGATGAGACGACACTGCACGGTGTGGTGCGTGATGAATGCTAGGCCACCACCATTATCTCGCTCGCGATCTAGACGGTGCACGTTGTACCCGGCGCAATTCAACAATGTTGAATTGCTGTGCAACTTCGTCTCTTGGACCGCAGCTATCAATATGCCATGCCTTCCTATGAAGACGGTTATCTCCTCGATCTTGCTCTGAAGCCCGTTACAGTTAAATTGAAGGAGCTTCATGTGGTTCGGGAGACGTGTGGTGATGCGAGATGTGGGGGATGTGTGTGGTCGTGACGCCGTTGGCTGTGTGCGCTGCTGAGGTGGTTGCCGCCCTGTGGTGGTGGCGGGAGGAGTGGCAGTTGAGATCTGCGACCGAGCAGCGCAACACTGGCCCTCGAAGTTCCTCGTCCAATCTCGCGTGTTGCGCAGACCTGAGCATGCCCTAAAGTGGGACCAGCCAAGGCAGGTGTTGCACTTGACTGATGTCACATTACGGGATATCCTGGTCTGACATACCGTGCAGATTGTAGGAGGAACTAAGAGTTGTTGGCGGCGGCGTGCGGGTAGTGGTGCGGTTGTGTGTTCTGTGGTCTGTCGTGGTTGTGATATGGTCTATTGTGTCGGTTAAGTTGTTGTGCTGTGGTTGTTGTTGTTTTTGTAGCGGCTACTAAGACCCGTTCGGGGCGGTTCATCCATCAACGTTGTCGTCAATTTCAGCTAGGGGGAGGCCCAGGAAGTGTGAGACTTCCACAGGGGCGGTCCATAGGGACAGGGGCATTAGCTGAGTAGGGTTCTCAGGGCATGTGAAGAGGTGCCGGGAGTCATGCGGCGACTTTCCACAAACATGTCGTTGTACACTAAACTCAACCCATCATTACTGACATTACATCTAAATACTTACGATAATTTCTTCCTTTATTGAATAATCAGATTTATCTTCGAGCCCAATATCCGATTTGTGTATTTCCAATACTTCAACAGCTTCCTCCTAAAAATATGTTAATATTAATCCTTTTGTAATTAAAATATGTACATAGCTCGTATGCGATTTCTTTAACTAACCTCTACCTTTGAATGCGATACAGTCTCATTACGGAAACTTTGCTGCAATTCTTGAGGAATACCTTCAACTCTTTGCTTAATTTCAGGATACAGGAATTCGATCGAATGGTCCTCGTATATATGATCTATAAATTTGTCTAATTGAAGAAACGTAAATTCACAAAACCCACAATTCAGAAAAAATTCTTTCTTTTCTATCGGCATCAACGCTTCTATTTCCCCGCATTTTTTTATATGACAATTGTTTATGCCAATTTTCAGAGCCATTGCTAATGAAAACAATTGCTTAATTTATATTATGAAAAAATACGATGTAAACAAATTGTTTATAGTAGAAATGGCGTTTTTAAATCGAGTATAGATTAATCGAGACTTCCGATTTAATTTTTCGTCGATTTTTTAGTACTGATTCGATCCGAGAATCGATGGAAAAATTCGAGAATCGACATTCGATTTTTAATCAATTATGAGATTTGTATGCGTTGCGTTCCAGATGCTTCACGATATTCACGAACACCCCTATTCTGCAACTCTTTCGTTTTCGGATTTTGCTACGAATCGTAGAAATAGTATGCTGCAATCCGAATCGTATTTAAAGAGTGTAAAAATCGGTTATACGTATAACTTATACGTATACAAGCGAGAGCGTAACGATGACGACGCGACATCATGAAAATTACCCAATGGGAAAAAGAGTAATGCGATACATGCGTGATAAATAATGTAATGCACTTCCTTTGGGTTTAAGATTCTATTACTGATTAACATGTAATCAGCATTCTAATGTATCCTCCCAAAAAAATTCATATTAAATTGCATAAATTCTCCGAATACTAGGTGATGCAAAATTAAATCTCCCACTTTTCTTAGGACATCGCCCTGGGGAAAAATGCATTTTCGAACGTGAAAGCGGCGGTTTTACTGATTATTTTTTCGACTACCATACATTACTTTTTCCCATTGCAGAATTAGGCACACTACCTCTTGCTCACTTTTAGCTCACGCTTGTTTGTGGTAGTGCCCCTCCCTGATATTTACCAATTAGTTTTTTTAAGCAACAACCATTTACAATTTACAACTTCTCTTTTAAAATTCTCTGAAACCAGTCCCTGCTACCTGTAGCTCGTTTCTGTAACTCTTCTCTACCGATTATTTCTCTACTGGTAGAGAATATACGTCATTCTCTACTACTCATTAGCAGTAGAGAACAAGGCGGCGAATTCATATATGAATTTGCCTTGGTAGAGAATTGTTACAGAAACGTGCTACTGTACTCACTTTTTTCTATTTCGTTTACATCCTCATTTTATGTGCCTACACTCACCGACGTAAACGTACGTTAACGTGTCAGCTGACACGATCAAATTTATCAGAACGCCATGTACATGAAAACTCACCATCGCGAACGTGCGACGGTTACGCGGGATGCGTACTGCTTAATTCTCTTTCTATCAACAGTAAATTTTATTTGATTTGTGATCGTTTTATTAATATTTGTTCCTTTAAAAGGCTGCGTGGTAAATAGCAGTAAAAAAGAGCGAAATAAATACAGTGGGGCAGGCAACATAGTAAACATTTAAAAACACAATAACTTTTGGGTAGTAAAAGCGATGTATAAAAACAGTAAATTGACGATATCATACAAATTAAATATGGTTTTATTTGACTTGAAAAAAGTTTCTTTTGATTTGAAAATGGGTTTATTTGACTTGAAAAAGGTTTCATTTGTATTGTGAAGGTTTCATTTGATTTAAAAATGGTTTCAGTTGATTTGAAAAAGGTTTACTTTGGGTTGAAAAAGGTTTCATTTGACCGGAAAATGCTATATATAAAAATATGCATATCAAATAAAAGGCCTATCAGTTACCTTTCCAACCACATCCACATTTTCAAAATCGGTGCAATGACTTTCTAAATATAGCTTTTAAAATTATTGAATGTTCCACCTTAACCCCTCTCTAGCTCCGCCCCTATTAATTTCCAGCAAAAATGGTTTACACCTTTCAAATCAGTAGAAAGGAGTGGACCACGCCCAATTTTAATTTATGTTTTATCTCAACGGTCGCTATACTGCACTTATGGCAGAGAGTGCAATTTATACTAGGTTCACATATAAGTAGATTATCCTCATTTCCGAGCTTAACATCCTAATCTGTAATTATAACAAGAGATGAGATTCGCCATATAAAATTCGTCCCTTGTTAATCTGTAATTATAAAATAATCTCAGATTTAACCGATAACTTTTCGTTGTCCATCCTAGTTTTATCGATTGTTTTTGCGAAAGAGAGGAGAAATGCCAAATGTAAAAATAAACAAAAATGTACGCTAGCAAGTAAAAGAGGTTTGTAAATGTATTTTTAATAAAATGTTAAGTTAAAATATATTTATATTGCTTATTATAGCAGAAAAACGTGATCACGGTGGCACAGAGAAGAAACATAAATTTTCCTTGAGATGTGAGAATAACAAGCACAACAAATTTGACGGCTAATAATCTGAGATTTGCCTATGTAAACGGGGTGATTAAAAAACGAGCTTTGATTGAAATAATATTGATATGTGAACATAGTTTTAGGCTTTCTGCACATTGGTCTCCAATCATAGTTGCTTCATCGTCACAATCATGATGCAACGATTACATGACGACTATACTTTCGCACACTCGGTTGTGATATTTCAATTCATTTGGCGTCTAAAAATTCACTTCGAGCAAGTATTTTCTGTTTTTCTGCTGATATTTTCGCGAAATATTTACAGAAACCTGCAATTTTTTAAATATAGACTGTGCTGCAACAATTCTAGACATAATTTTTCAGTAATATGTCTTGTTTTCTTTTCCTGAAATGTGTTTTGTGCATGCTTACAGAGACTTTTTTAAATTTCGTCATATTTTATAGTTAAAACGTTCAAATTTACTGAATTTTAATGCAATTATCTACTTTTTAATAATTTCCACAGGTTTTATGCAAAAAATACTAATTTTTATGCAATTTTAATGCAAAAATTAACTTTTTCACTAGTTTTTCAGCATAAAATGTAATGCGAGCGCAACGATTAACAAACGACAGTGCCGTACTTATGCGTTTCTGCTTCTTCTACGATTTGCCGATAACTAGTCGATAACGACAAGTGTGCAAATCTCCTTTGAGATGCATGTGCGGCTCAAAATTTCAGGGCGAAACAATAACGCCACGATGATTGGACGACAAGTGTGCAGATAGCCTTACTCCCACAAAAGTTGTTTGACTTACAGTTTTGTTTGGCACCTGGAACACTTTCCTGAAAAAAACTGCAAATCGTGTATAACGTGAGCACCTGCACGCAACTATAAATTTCCAGAACAACGTTGAATCGCCTCGAAAATCGTCTCGTGTAAAGGCAGCATTATTAAACGTCGTCATATAAAAAAATCGATTTTGTTGGAAAGTCGATGTCGACTTTGCCAGCCTTCTACAAATGAAAGATTTTTTTTAAATCCATTTGTTATTTGTGATCAATGGTTATTTTAATGTAATAATTTTCCTCATTACCAATGGCTCTTGAAATTGACAGAAATAACTGTGCTTTTAAAAAATGCGGAGAAATATCGACTTTTTTGCCAGCAGGGAAGAAAGAATTTTTTCTGAATTGTGGGTTTTGTGAGCTTACATTTCTTGAGTTAAACAACTTGATTGAGCATATATTCGAGGATCATTCTGTGGAATTCCTGGAAACAGAATTAAAGGAAGACGTTGAGGATATTTCGCTGGGTTTTCAGGAAGGTTACAGCAGTGAAACTGATTCGCATTCAAAGGTACAGGATAGTTACGGATTACACATCCCACTGGGAATATAGGTAAGCCATGTTTTCTTCAGTTTTTAGTACCAGAATTTTCATCATGACCAATGTCATCTACTAGTAAAGCACAAAATGAACACCTACGACGACGCATTACGTTCCCACGACAGTCTGGTCTGCGTAACCGGAACGACCCAGATTTATATCTGGCCAAGGACTGTCACTCCAGCAACACTCCCCAAAAAGTCTTTGGGGAATTTGTATGCTGCTACAACAACAACAACGACGCATTACGTTGTCAGTTGCAAAATAACTTGCCGCCGAAGGACCGCCGGGTAAAGTGTAAGGGTCAAAAGATAGGGAGCGGCGAGCAATGCGTCGATTTCAAACGCATATGTTTCAATGTTTCACCGTGCAGTATCGTCTTATTGAAGCAGACATCGACCGCAGGGATACCATCCTAGAATGTCAGGGTATTGATATCCGGACAGGAGATGTTCAGCTCGAAATATTTAACGTATACATACCCCATGTCACTAGCTGTTCGGCAGGATATCACTCTGAAATAGGTGCGCTACTCAGAGGTGAAAACCGTATCGTAGTTGGTGACTTTAACGCGCACCACGATCTTTGGCACTCAAGCCTCTAAAATGATCGTAGGGGAATACATTCGACATTCTGCACAATAAACGACGACGCACCCACCAGGATTATGGGCAGCTGCTGCAGCTCGCCAGATCTAACAATTGTCAGCGCTGGTCTGATAAACAGCAAATCATGGCGACCTATGCTGACTCTAGCATCAGACCATCTGCCCATAGTCATCTCGATTGATAAACCTGCCGACTTTGCTTCCGTGGATCACCGGACTAATGTCAACTTTTCAAAGCTGACTGGAAAGGCTTCACGGATGTTACTGAGGGCGCCTTCACTGCACTGCCCATACCAACCGACGTTCATGTAGGTGAACGTAAGTTCCGCAGGGTTGTCAACGTTGCTGCAGCTCGCTTCATCCCAGCAGGATGTATTAAGGATCCACGTCCGAACTTTCCTGCTGAAGCGACTGTTCTAGCCGATTAGCGCGACAACCTTCGTCAGGCAGATCACAGAAATCCCCGTATCAGGGATCTCAATTCGGAGATTCGGCAACTTGTGAACGTACATAAGCGGAAGAAATGGGAAGAGCATTTGAAGACCTGCAACTTCGCCTCTGGTGTGAGCACGCTTTGGTCAACCTTGAGGTCGTTGTCCAACCCTAAGCGATTTTGGCTGAGTTCAGCAAAGCACGCCAGTCGTTTCTCCTCTGTGCCGACTGACGCCAATTGGAAACGCCAGGTGAAGCCAAGTCCTCCACCTGATCTTTCCATCGCAGTGGGGGCCTCCCTCTTAATCTGCTACCACCTGCGGGTTCCGAGTTGAATACTTTCAGAGCGTCGGCTATTGCAGCAGGCTAAACTCTTACCTAAGTAGAATCAACGAGGATGTGCCCAACCAATGCCCGGCATGTGGAGAGTCGCCACATGACTCCCGGCACCTCTTCACATGCCTTGAGAACCCCACTCAGCTGACGCCCCTATCCCCTGTGAAAGTCGCACACTTCCTGGGCCTCCCCCTAGCTGAAGTTGACGACAACGTTGATGGATGAACCGACCCGGACGGGGCTTAGTAGCCGCTACAACAACAACAACAACAACCATTTTGGTACTAAAAACTGAAAGCAAACTTGGCTTACCTCGTAAGGTGCTATTTTCCCAGTGGTGTGCGAGCTATTTGGATTACAAAAGGTTTTATATATGTATGTGTATTTATAGGATGCCGATGTTGATGGACATATGTTAACAGGTTTTGAAACTGTTGAAGTATTGGAAACACACAAATCAGATACTGAACTCGAAGATAAGTCTGATTATTCGATAAAGGAAGAAATTATAGTAAGTATGTGGGATAGATAGTAACGTAGCCATTAACGAACATTGCGAGTATGCATGAAAACTTTCACCCTCTCGACACGGCGACATGAGTGTGCTTTAGCAAAACTATCACGAATTTTCTAATAAAACTACCAGGATGTGAAGAAACACAAATAGTCACTCTTTTTTCTTTTGTTACACTGCGCAACAATTTCAGGGTCATTTTCCTGGGGGCGGAATGATTCCAACTCTGGATAAAAGACCAAGATCCATATAGTGAAACCTCAAAATCGTTTTCCATTCTTTTCTAATTTTTTTTTGCTATGGCCATTTTAAATTTGCAATATTTTGCCTAAGTGTCTTTAAATTAGAATAAACTGTAAGAAGAGTCCAAATACATATCGGAGAGAAATGTGTTGTTTCGCGACATATAGTAAACTTTTACGAGGAGTAATTTTGTAGAATATTTTAACCCGTTATTCCCCTCACATAAGGGTCGTTTTTGCCCCCTGTTTAGATAGTCCGAATAAAATGTCAATTTGTAGGTCGCTAGAGGGTGAAAATCTTGTAGGAAATTATTTGCCGTAAAATTTCACTAGGGGTCTCAGACAAAATCTTTGTACAGAGAATCTGTAAGTCCACAGAAGATAAAAATATGTCCCAACTTTTTATGCTTTATTTTATATTTCGTTTTTATATGTAACTCTTGCTCTTTTCGGGCCTGATGGTTCGGGAAGTATAAAATCAGCATCGGAATCATCGTTGTGATCAGAATCTGAGTAACATGATGTCCAGTTTATTTAATTTGAAAAAAAATGGCAAAAAATCGGATGGGATATTTACGAATTCATTAAAATTTCTCTACGATTCAGAATACTCTAAAAAATGGTTTGCAGGGTTGTTGTTTTAATTAAAATAAGTTAAAATATTTTTGTGTAACAAGTATTTACTACCTCATTTTAAATGGGAGAACCACTTGATGATAGCGCTCGCCGTGCACATCAGACCCAGTGCAAAAGCTGTTAATATCTGACTTAAACGCTGCCATTTTACTTTTTCCATAAAATTATTATGTTCTATCCAAAGATTATTTACACGTAGGTTACTTGTTTAAACAATTGGAGCTAGAGTAACATACATATGGTCGGTGATACTGCAAAACGTTCTATGTCGCTTATTACCTCTGGTGGTTAATTGATCTGTTATCTGTATCTGATCGCTTCTGGCAACCGTTCATCTTCATCTGCCAAAGGTAGACAGTTTTGTCATTCGTTTATTAGGTTGTACTAACATACATATACAGTTTTGCAGTATCACCGACGATATATGAACATTATACCTATATAAAATAAAGCAATTAATACGTTCTATAGAAACTGGCGAACATAAAAATTGCACCAAGAGCTATTCGTTAGAAAAACAGAAGTACTAACAACAACAATAGCGAAAGTGAGAGTGCTTGCTGAAGATCTGACAAAATAAACTGACAATTTTCGACGTGTGTCAAGTTAGCACTACACTTTTCGAAATTGGAAAAGTTAACTACGGCATTAATTGTAGTGTTTTTGTTGTAAATTTGTTGTGGAAAGAAAAAATTTGTAGCTCTCGTTTTTTAAGAAAAAATGGTATGTAGTGCTAACTTGACACCATACACCTAGTCGATAGAATTGAGATAT